AAAGTAAAAAAAAGAGGACCTGCGAAACTTTATACAATGTCAGACACGCAGTGAATAGTACCGGTATGTTTTTGTAATACATGTAGTTCCAGTGCCTTTGCTTTCTGAGATAAAAATCTGGCTCTGCACCTGAAAAAAAAAAGAACATTTAGTCCAAAGTAAGCAGAGGTTGTAGCATATGTGCTCCCATTGGCTGTTAGATATAATTAAAAAAGATATTTGAGTCTTTTTAGTACGAAAAAATATTACTTAATAAATTTATACCAGCCAGAAAGAAATTGCAGTTCACATTGTACTATTTTAAACATGTTCTACCAAAGTCTAGGATGAACTAATTCAACAGTTTCCACTCTACAAAGTTGTCAAATTAATATTCACAGGATTCTGCAAAAATAAAATATTAAGAATGTGCAAAAAGCCAGAGTACTTGTGCCGAAAATTTCACTTGAGCTGAACCAAATGGATGCCAAGCTATCAAAAGTAATAAAAAAAAAACTATTGAGAAAAATACAAAAAAATACATTTAATATAAAAGCAGATAGAAGTGCATAAAAAACTAATCAGCAGAGGTAGTGATCATGTAACCTAAGTGTACCGGTATGTCAAATTTCCTTTGAACTGGATTGCATTGTCTCAGATTGGCTGCTAATTTGCATATTAATTTGCAAACTAATTAACATATTGTAGTTGTATTAAAATATTATATAAAATAATATCCGGAGTTTTGAAAAAAAAAATTTTAATATTAAGTCAACATCATTAAAATTGAGGATTACGTGAATTTGACCCCCTCCCTAATATTATTTCACATATCCCTTAAAAACATGGCCGCCGTAAAATCCATCTCAATCGAGGTCCGTAATTTATTTTCCTGCTCATAATGGAGATAAATTATGGTAGCTAAACATTGAAATTGCCACCCTGACTTCAGTACCGAAATAAATAGCTCCATCAGCACGCATAGAGCGATGGGTACTAAGACTAGACCGGGAAAGACTAACATAGCAGACGCGTTGTCAAGACTAAATTCACAAACACATCGTGATAAAGGAGAGAATGACGACTACGTACGTGTTGTCATTGATAACAGTGTACCGATTGCGTTGACAGCCAGGGAAATTGAAAAAGCGTCGAGTGATGATTCTGAACTAAACTCCGTCAGAGAATGCGTCAGAACCGGAGACTGGAACAATTGTAATATACAATCGTATCTACACGTGAAAAGTGAACTAGGTGTTTTCGGAGAATTGTTACTACGTGGTACCAGAATCGTAATTCCGTATTCTTTGAGGAGTCACGTTTTAGAATTAGCACACGAGGGGCACCAAGGAATTGTGAAAATGAAAAATAGATTACGCACAAAAGTATGGTGGCCGAAAATGGATAGAGACGCGGAACAAATATGTAAAACATGTCACGGTTGCCAAGTTGTTGGCGAATACTCACTTCCGGAGCCAATGTCTCGCGTAATACCGAGTGGACCATGGCAAGACTGTAGCACTGATTTATTAGGTCCACTACCCTCCGGAGAGCATATACTCATTGTCGTGGACTATTACAGTCGTTATTACGAGGTAGTCATATTAAAGTCAACTACAAGTACCAAAATCATTGAAGCTTTAACTCCAATATTCGCTCGATTTGGAGTACCCCACACATTAAGACTGACAATGGATCACAACTCGTACCTGATGAGTTTGAAGCATACCTGGACGAAAATGGCATCGAACATAGAACCACAACACCACTATGGCCACAAGCTAATGGCGAGGTAGAAAGGCAAAATCGTACGTTAATGAAAGCCATACGGATAGCACAAGTAGAGGCGAAAGACTGGCATAAGGAACTGTCAAAATTCCTTATTGCATACCGCTCTACTCCTCAGGCAACTACAGGGGCTACGCCCTATTA